TGGTGGTGGTGGTGGTGGCGGCGGTGGCGGCGGCGGCGGCGGTGGCGGCGGCGGCGGCGGCGGCGGTGGCGGTGGTGGTGGTGGTGGTTGTGGTGGTGGTGGTGGTAGTAGTAGTAGTTGTAGTAATAGTCGCGGAAGTAGTAGTAGTAGTAGTAGTAGTAGTAGTAGTAGTAGTAGTAGTAGTAGTAGTAGTAGTAGTAGTAGTAGTTTGTAGTAGTAGTAGTAGTAGTAGTAGTAGTAGTAGTAGTAGTAGTAGTAGTAGTAGTAGCTGTAGTCATAGCAGTCGACTTGTAAGTCAGGTTATAGGAGAAGTAGCTTTAGAAGTCTAGGTAGGAGATCACTTACACACAGAAGCGTAAATCTATGTAGACGTTGAAGTGACTTTGCAAGTGGGGCCTTCCTGAGGGTTCGGGCGGTTGTTCGCGGCGATTCCTGGCCCCCTTCATGGTTCTCGACGCCGCACAGCTGTTGGAAAGTCCTCCCTGGGCTTAAAGCTCGGGCGGGTCTTCGGGGCGATTCCTGGCTCCCTGGATGGCTGTCGACAACGCGCAACAAACATCCAGTAATTTGCCACTGCCGCTGAAGATCGCATTTGAATTTTCCTGGCGGCAGCGGCGGCGTTCCATGCCCTGCTTGCCCGCGTTGGCTGGTTGATGCTGGGGCGCCAGGTGCCAATCGGGACCGAGCTGTTTTTTCTTTCCCAGGAGAGCCCCATGGTCAGGGTGCTCGCCAAGACCATTTCGTGCGCGGGCAGGGGAGCAGCAACGGGGACCTCGCTGGCTCTCCTCAACCGCCTGTGCTTGACATCCCCCTTTGATTTCCGCCCATCCTCTTCCAGTCCCCTCCCCTCGTTTCTCCTTCAAAGCGCCTTCCCTCTGTGTGCCCACACTGTATCACATGGGTTGCTGCTGACATGCTGCTTGCAGAATAGCGTTTCGCTGCGTATCACGTTGCCCTTACCCCCATCGGCTGCACCCGCTAGAGTGCACCGCTGTAGGTCGAAAGCTATCAGCGGCTTCAAGAGAAAAACATTGCTGAAGCCACCACGGCCGAGGCTCACCAGCTTCCCTGCCCTTGTGTCCCCCTCCCCCCCGCCTCCCCTCCTGTCTTCTTCGCGACTTTGTTCTTTACGAGCTTCGTCGGCCGAGTCGCAAACAGCTGGCCAGCCGCGCCTGGGGGGCCGCCGCGCCCGAGGCGGCGGCGCCGTCGGCGCCGCCGGCCGTCTCCGCGGCCTCCGCCTCGACGCCGTCGGCTGCCTCGGCGACGCGGTCACCGACGGTGTCCCCGGCGCGGTCGCCGCCCGCGGCCTCGGCGGCGTCGGCCGCATCGCCCGCGTCGCCGCCGGGGTCCAGCGCACCTGAGCCTCAGCCAGGAGGGGCAGGGAGGCCCGCCATGGAGCCAGCGGCGCGTGGTCGGCGTCGCAGATGGGGACAGAAGAGACGCGGGCGCGCGAAGACCGGCCGCGTGTCCCGTTCCGTTTTCGGGCAGAGTTTGCTGCCCGTGTCGCCGCGTACGCTATCTCTTTGCGACGCACGTCGCCTGCCCAACAGCGGCCGCTGTCGGTGTTGGGCAGTGCTTGCTGGCGGGCATCTCAGGGCAACGAAGAGGGGGATAAAAGCTCAGGGGGGAATGCATGAACCCCCTAGCGCCTAGCGACCATGCATCGCCAATAGGGGCCTGATAGCCCACCCCGATCAGGACCGTGCGGCTTCGCTATCGAAGGCCTATTGCCGATCTATCGGCGATGTGTCGCCGCTTTCAGGTCGATGTACCCATCCCCCCGCGATGAGCACGGCAACCCATGGGATTTGAACAGTGAAGCGGGACGAAAGCGAAGGACAGTGCATTCGTAGTCGACCGCGACGCAAGCCAAAGTCGACTCAGAACCGGTCCCCCGTCCCCTCCGATTGTGAACAACAAGTTATTCCCACCAACCCATGCAGAAACAATGTCCAGGGGGGTTGAGATGATCAGGGGAGTGGGGGAGCATGCAGAAGATCAAAGGGCGGGGGAAACCGTCCGATACCCTTGGGGGAGGATGTTGGAGGAGAAGGAGGAGGTGGAGGAGAAGGAGGTGCAGGGCGACGAGGAGGAAGGAGGAAGAGACAGCGGATAAGGAGGAGGAGGAGGAGGAGGAGGGCGAAGAGGAGGAAGGAAGAAGACACGGTGGACAAAGAGGAGGAGGAGGATGCGGAAGAGGACGAGGAGGAGGAGGAGGAGGAGGAGTAGTAGGAGGAGAAAAGGAGGAGGAGGAGGGGGAGGAGGAGGAGGAGCTGAAGGAAAAGGAGGAGGAGGAGGCCGAGGAGGAGGAGTAGGAGGATGAGGATGAGGATGAGGATGAGGATGATGATGAGGAGGAGGAGGCGGAGGAGGAGGAGGAGGAGGAAGAGGAGGAGCAGGAGGGGCATCTTGGCGAGACCAGGGGTTTCTCTGAGTGTCTTGGGCACCTCGGGTATCCTCTTGAGGCCTCTCGGGTATCTCCTGGGGGCCCCTTGGAAGTCTCTTGGTGGCCTCTTGGGGCCGTCTGGGCGCCTCTGGGGGCCCTCTTGGGGCGATCTTGGGAGCTTCAGGGGCGCTCTTGGGAGCTTCACTTCGGGTCGCCCCTCGGGAGCCCCACAAGTCACCCCTTGAGGCGCTCTTGGGGCGCTGTTGGACCGCTTTGGGCGCTCTTGGGGCCGTCTAGGGGCTCTCTTGGGACTCTCTTGGAGCCCTCATGGGCCATCTTGGAGCCATCTTGAGGCCTTGGGTGGCCATCGGAAGCAAAACAGCGAGAAAGCACACAACATTTGATTTTCTTTAGGTTCTGGAAGGAATTTGGCATCTTCATGGCCTCCTTGTGGAGCTCTTTGGCCACTTGGGGCCGTCTTGGAGCGGTCGTGGGGCCTGTTGGAGCATCTTGGGAGCCATCTTGATGCGTCCTGGGATATCTTGAGCCGTCTTGGAGCTCATGTTGGACTCTCCGAGGCGCTTTTGGGACCATCTTGGGCCATCTTGGATGCTCCAACCCCTCGGGGGACCTCCCGTCCAGGTTCATGGGGGGGGGTAGGGGGAGGGTCAAGACACCCTCCAGATAGTAAGCCGTCTAGCTCACTCCCACCCGCCCTCCCAACACATAAGTATCACCAAAGTCTCAACATGTTTAGCGGTCGTCCTTGGATGGGCAGCTACTGGGAAACAAAACCGAGCCCACGTGCGCGACGCTGGAGCGAGGTGCGCCACGCGTGCCAGGCGCGCACCCCTAGGGCCCGAGCGTGGCAGGCACGCGTGGTGTGCCCAATGCGCTACGTGCCTCCGCGTGCGCCAGCTATGCTGCATACTCCAGCCGCGCCAGGTGCGCCACGTTCGGGGCACCTGCAGAGTGTGTCAGGTGCGCCTGCGCACGTGACAGCACACATCGGGAAACATGTCGGCCCCCACCATCCTTGTCGAACACCAATGCCCATCATTGTGTCTGGTCGGCCTGCGCACAGCAGGCCATACGCCACCACCCCCGCGGTCCCTGTCAAAAACCACTTGACAATGATCGCGGGGTGGCCGCGCATGATCCAGATTTAGCCGCGAAGTGCATTCTCTATTGTGTTTTGTCAGGGATGGTAGCGCCCCGCCGTCCCTGTCAACATAAGCAATACAAATTGTTCGCGGGCCTCACGAACATGACTCCAGATTTTGCCCCGAAGTGTACTTTGTATTGTTGTTTGAAAGGGATGGTGGGGGGTGACGCATCGGGTTGGTTGCACATGCTCCGAATTGAGGGGCAGAGTGCGTTTTGTATTTTTTTTTGACAGGGATGGTGGGGGGGATGGGAGCATGGTTTCTGGTTGGCCGTCGGTCGCCTGGGGGAGGAGTTGTATATTGATAGGGACCAGTGATTCGCCCATCCCTGGATGGCATGAGGGGCAGATGGAAGACAGCACACTCTAGACCACCTGAGCCCTGAAGGGCTGGTGGGATTCACATAGACTTCGATCCTCGAGCCTCTCGAGCTTCGATGGCCACGATGATCACGACTGCGATCATGATAATGCCGACGTTGATCGTGCTGATCATCATCGTGATTGTCATGGTGATGTGGCTGTTGATGAGGATGGAGATGTTGATCACTATGCTGCCGACGATTTCGATGATGACAGAGGATGCTACTGCTGATGCTGATGCTGCTGGTGACGATGATTGCGAAGATGACGATGGTGACGATAGTGATGATGCTGCTGATGATGATGCTGATGATGCTGATGCTGCTGCTGCCGCCGACGACGAGGATGATGACGATGGTGTGGTGGTGATTGTGATGATGATGACGATGATGAAAGTGAAGATGACGATGAATATGAATATGATGATGATGCTGATGCTAATGCTGATGATGCTGATGATGATGATGCTACTGCTACTGCTAATGCTGAATATGATGCTGTTGATGAGTATTCTGATGATGCTGATGATGATGATGAAGGCGGTGATGGTGACGATGATGCTGATTTTGATGATGATGGTGATGGTAATGATGCTGCTGCTGCTGCTGCTGATGATGATGATGATGATGATGACGCTGCTTCAGTTGATGCTGCTGCTGCTGATGAAGATACTGATGCTGATGATGATGATGACGATCACGAGGATGATGCTGATGCTGATGCTGTTGATGCAGATGCTGATGCTGATGCTGATGATGATGATGCTGCTGATGATGATGATGATGCTGCTGATGCTGATGATGCTGCTGCTGATGATGATGATGCTGATGACGATTGTGATGCTAGCGATGATGCTGATGCTGATGATGGTGATGCTGATGATCATGGTCGTGGTGGTGGTGGTGATGATGATGTTGTTGATGATGATGATGCCGATGATGATGATGATGATGATGATGATGATGATGATGATGGTGGTGGTGGTGATGATGATGATGATGATGCTGATGATGATGCTGCTGATGATGATGTTGATGATGATGCTGCTGGTGATGATTTTGATCACGATGCTTATGCTGCTGCTGATGATGATAGTGATGATGCTGATGATGCTGATGATGATGATGATGATGATGATGATGATGATGATGATGATGATGATGATGATGATGATGATGATGAGTATGAGGATGAGGATTATGGAGACGGTGATGGTGGTCGTGGTGGTGGTGATTGTGATGATGATGGTGCTGGGAGGAGGAGGAGCTGGAGGAGGAGGAGGAGGATAATAATGGGGACAATCATGATGTTGGTGATGCTGATGCTGACGCTGCTGCTGATGGTGGTGGTTGTAGTGTTGATGATGAATAGGAGGAGGAGGGACGGGAAGGAAGTATATGGAGCAGTAAGGATGAGTGGGGGAAGGAGGTGGGATAGGGGGAAGATTAGCAAGAGTGGTAAGGGGGAGCAGGAGGAGTAAGAGGACGACGGCACTGATGACGCCGAGACGCTCTGGGTGGGGGCTCGGCAGGCAGCGCCGTCCCCGCGGACGCGGGCAGCCCAGCCAGGAAGGGCAAGGGCAAGGGCCCGTGCAGGCAGCCGTCACCGCCGTCGCCACCGGGGCCGTTGTCCTGGTGGTGGTCGTCATGGTCGTTGTCGTTGCCGCCGCCGCCGCCGTCGTCGTCGTCGTTGTCGTCGTCGTCGTCGTCGTCGTCGTCGTCGGTGGTCGCTGTCGTCGCAGTGGTCGGTGGTCTTAAATTGCGGCGGCGGTGGTGGTCGTCGTCGTGGTCACCGCTGTCATTGTCGCCTTCGCCACCGAAGCGTCGCTGTGGTGGTGTTCGTCGTCGTCGTGGTCTCCGTCGTCTCGTGATAATCGTTTGGGTGGTGGTCGTCTGGCAAGGCTTGGGGTAGCACACTGGCAACAAGCGGAGGTACGCAGATTTGCCCTCGACGGGGTCCCCAGGCAGCCCACCGCGGCCCCCCCTGCGCTACCTCTGGCGGCGCTGCGGGGGCGCTCGGCCCACACCAGACCATCTGGGGACTTGTTTCTGGCAGCCAGGATCACACCTGGCACGAGGGTTGAGAACATCCCTAGCTCTGGAAGGGTACGCATTAAGGTCCTCTTTCCACCTTGGAATGTTTCTTGTTTTGGGATCTCCCTGGGGCATTTGGCCTTCGGTGACGGGGCTCACGTCCTTCACCCGCGTTCTGATGAGCATCATTCCACTGTGCCTCTGGAGGCCTGTCGACGGTGTCAGGACTGCCTCTGGTGACTGTCTGTGGGTGCATCCCGAGTCTTGCCAGAGTCGTCGTCGTCGCCTTCGTCGTCGTCGTCAGTCTCCCCAGCGTTTTTTGCCAGGACTTCAAGGCTTGCAGTCCGTGGCAGCTCATAAGTATCGGCTCTTGCCATGTTTGGGCCTGGGCAGGCCTCGCGTGGGGAGGATTTCTGGAGACCCCTAAGTGAGCTGTTGCATCGTGGGGTGGCTGACTCGGGCGAGGTCGTTACTGGTGGGACCACGGGATTCAGGGAGCAGCACACCTTCCATGGGCTGGTCATGGGCTCACACTGGTGATAGTAGGCTGTACTTGCATGACCAGGAGTTGCAATCTCACCACAGGCACTTCGTCTGCCCTGCCCGTGAGGCCTCGGGTACGCCGCTGATGATCATTGGAGGCCATGTTTTTGTTATGATGGCACCCGGGTAGAATATCTGTTCCCCTCGCTGCGTGCGGGAGGGATCGCTGTTCCTGACCAAGGGCTCAGACTGGTGGCAGGCTGGTACGGCTCGGTCCCTTGTGCTACCTGCCCTGACCAGGTCGTTCGGGATGACGAGGGTTTCGTCGTGTTCATAGCCTCGGCTTTTCCAGGGCGGCCCGAGAACAAGGTCGAAGAGGAAGGAGGAGGAGGAAGAGGTGGTGCAGGACGATGACGAAGGGGATAACGAGGAGGAGCTGGAGGAGCAGGAGGCGCAGGATCATTAGGAGAGGAGGAGAGAGCAGGAGAGTAGGGCGAGGTCGAGCTCGATGACGAGCAGGCGCGTGAGGGCGAGGCTGAGGGCGATCAGGAGAAAACGAGGACGACGGCGACGAGGAGGACGAGGAGGGGGCCCTGCGGAGGCGGCATGGGCAGGGACAAGCTCCCACCAGGCAGCCCGGCGCACCGCCGCCAGGCGCCAAGGGCGGGCCGAAGGCCGGCCCAGCGTCGAAGGACCGCGGTGCCGCCGCCGTCTCTGGCCGCCGCCGCGTGGTGGCGGTGGCCGTCGTCGCCGTCGCCGCCGCAGCCGGCGGCGACGGCTCCGTCTCAGAGCTTTTCGATTGAGCGTCTCCGGGGGCTCTCGTTGCCACGGCTGGATTCGCCTCGGGTTGCTGGTCAGGACGCGGCCCCGGACAGGCCTGGGGATTCGAGTTTTGGGGTGCGGCGGCGACGTCGTCGCTGTCGCACCTCAAAAGAGGCTCGGGGAAGGACGACGACCACTTAGTTCGAGGGCCCGTCGTCGCCACGGCCAGACCCAGCTCGAGAAACATGCCACGATGCATACCAGGAGGTGGTGGTGGTGGTGGTGGTAGTGGTGGTTGTCGCTGCCTTCATCGAATGCTTACTCCTAGAGCCTGTTTTTGATGATTTCTGGAATCGGTTCTGGGCGCTCTCGCCAGGACGCGGGCTGCATTTTCTTTGAAACCGAGGCTCCCGCTCATGCGCGGCCTTGGGACCAATGTGTCTTGTTGGAGGCGCAGTGAGGTTGATGGAGGTTCAACTGCGACGATAACGGCTCCTGCACGACGCTTGCTCACGATCTCACGATTTGTTCCAAGACGCCCTTGCCATAGAGGGCCCCCAATTTAGGAACGGCGCTTTCGCTGGAGATGTCCCCGCAATGCAGTCAAGATGTTGGAGCCCTCCTTCGAGGACAACCGCTCCCGCTCGATGGTTTCTCACGATCTGCTCCGAGACGCCCCAGCCAGATTGTGCTCCAAACTCAGGAACGTCGCTCTCGCTCGAGAAGTCCTCGCAATTCAGGCAAGTTGACGAAGGCCCAACTGCGACGCTAACGGCTCCCGTTCCTGATGCGTGCTCACGATTTAGTCCGAGACGCCCTGGCCAGAGTGGGCTCCAAACTCAGGAACGTCGCTTTCGTCCGATACTTCCTCGCAATTCAGGCAAGCTGCTGAAGGCCTAGCTATGACGACAACCGCTTTCACTTGGTACGTGCTCGCAATTTCCTCCGAGATGCTCTGGCCAGAGGGTTCCAAACTATGGAACGCTCTCGCTCGATACTTTCTTTTAACTAAGTAAAATTTTTGGAGGCTCAACAGCGACGACAACCGCTTCCGCTTGATTCTTGCTCGCAATTACTCACGCTTCGCGTATCCTCACCAGCTGGTTTATCCTTTGGCAGGCCCGGCCTTTCCACAACGTGGCTGTTCCGCTATACGGCGCCGTCGCCCTGGAGTACGACTTCTTGTTCATGTGGTGCATCTCGTGGCAGGACTGTGTCTCCTCCTGGCCGACGTATCTCCCCCGGCGTTGCCGGCCTGCGCTTCTTCCTCTGGGAGAGGTTCACGCTCGCTGTCGCCATCGGCGTCCTGCCCTTCTGCGGTGGTCAGGTGGTGCACTCTACCTGCAGGTCCCCCCTGGCGGGACACTGGGCACTGGTGGTTGTGACGTGGTTTGCGCGGCGTGCATCCCTGTCGTTAAGGATGGTGGCTGCCCCTCAGGTACCACGACCTGTCCACCATTGATTGGGCCAGAGTCGGCTCGCCGGCGATCTGGTGCTCCGTGAGTGATGCATCCTGCTTTCCCCCCCCCTCCGTCATTCCGTCGCCCTGCTCAGCGCCCGGCTTCCTGGTGCTGGCGCAACGTCGCCACGCGCGGCTGCCCGTCTGCCCGTTTTCCCAATTTGTTCTGCATGTTGCACGAATTATCTGGCTCAGTGCCCCAGTCAGCCCGATTGACACGCCCTCTGGACTCTTCCTTGCGGGCCGCAGATAAAAACATATATCCTCACCAGCGCTAGTTCGCCTAGTTCGCGTCCCGGACTTTGCTCTCGCCGCCTGACCGTCGTCTCGCGGCCGCGACCGAAAAAGTATCCTCACCAGCGCATCCCGGACGCCGATTCCGCTCCCTGACCGTTGCCTGGGAGCCGCCGACCCCCCCCAACAAAAATCCCCACCAGCCCATCCGGAAACCCTGCCTATGAGAGGTGACGGGGAAAATGACGAAGAAACACAGGTAGCGAAACAAAGCGGGCAGCCAGGGTGAACAGAGATATCTCTGGGAGCAAGGGGGTGACCTTAGAGGGCGTCCTCGGGCTATTCCTGAGGCCCGCGTGGTGGGGAGGGAAGGAGGAGGAGGAGAAGGAGGAGGAGGAGGAGGGGGAATAATATTCAGAGGAGGAGGAGGAAAAGGAGGAGGAGGACGAGGAGGAGGAAAACGCCGCCGACGACGACAACGAAGACGAGGAGGAAAAGGAGAAGGAAAACGAGGACGAGGAGGAGGAGGACGGTGATGATGATGCTGCTGATGAGGATGACGATAATGATGATGCCGATGATGATGTCGATGCTGCTGATGATGCCGATAAGCACGATGAGGCTGCTGCTGCTGATGACGATGATGATGACGTTGATGACGAGGATGAGGATGATGATGACGATGATTATGATGACGATGATGCTGCGGACGTTGATGATGTTGATGATGATGACGGTGATGGTGATGATGATGATGATGATGGTGGTGGTGATGATACTGGATGATGCGGATGCCGATGCTGATGATGATGATGACGATGATGCTGATGATGCTGATGATGACGATGATGCTGATGCTGATGCTGATGCTGATGATGATGATGACGATGATGATGATGATGATGATGATGATGATGATGATGATGATGATGACGGTGATGATGATGATGATGAGGAGGAGGAGGAGGAACTGGAGGAGGAGAAGGAGGAGGAGGACAAGGAGGGCGAGGACATAGCCCTCAAAATCGTCTCTTGGAGCTCCCTTGGGACTCTTCTTGGGGATATTGGGGTCCTCTTGGAGCTCTTCAGAGGATATTGGGACCCTCTTGGATCCCTCTTGGATCCCTCTTAGGGGTCCCTTGGGAGCCCTGGAGGGTCTCTTGGGACTTTCCTCGGGGCCATCGACCAAAAGTCAGTCAGTCAAGCCTGGCGCCCAAACGGCGCATTGGTAGATAAAAAGAATTGCGCGCGTGAGTTGCGTGGACAGGGGAAGGAACAGGAGGGAAGAGGAAGAGACACTGGAAGCCCACTGTTGTTTGGGGCTCCATCTCTTCCTCCTGTGCCCCCATAGCCTGGGTAACTTTTTGCCAGCATTGATCAAAAGGGGGGGGTCCTAAATTTGCCTCCTCCTCCTCCGGAGCCATCAACATCGTCTCTTGGGGCCCTCTTGGGGCGCTCTTGGGGCGCTCTTTGGTCTCCTCTTGGGCTGTCTGAGGGACCCTGGGCCACTCTTGGTCCTTCCTTGGGCCATCTTGGGGGCATCTTTGGGCCCTCGTGAGGCAACACAACGCATCAGAAGCGGAAAGGCGAGAAGGCACAACATGTGGATCTTCCATATGTGTTTGAAGGATTTCTGCCTCTTGCGGGTGTCCTGAAGGGGCTCCGAGAGCACTTTGAACCGTCTTGTGGCCTTCATCGGGATGTCGGGAGCTATCTTGAACCATCGTCGGCATCTTGAGCCATCTCGAAGGCTCTCTTGGAGCATCGGAGGCCCTCTTGCAGCCATCTTAGACTATCTTGGGTACCCTAACGCTTCGCGACCCCCTGCCAAAAGCTTCAGGGAGGGGGGGAGGTAAACTTCCCGGAAGGGAAGAGGTTTCTGGAGTAGGACAGAAGGACCTCCTTAGACCACCTTCGCCAAAAGGGCTGATGTGACTTATTCCGGGGCGCCCTGGCCAGACAGGGCCCCAAACTCCAGATCTTGCTCGATATTTTCTTGCAAGTCAGTAGAACGTTGATGGAGGCTCAACTGCGACGAGAACGGCTCCTGCACGACGCTTGCTCACGATTTGCTCCAAGACGCCTTGGCCAGAGAGGGCCCCCAACTCAGGAACGGCGCTCTCGCTGGAGACTTCCCGCAATGCAGTCAAGTTGTTGGAGGCCCAGCTACGACGACAATCGCTCCCGCTCGATGCTTGCTCACGATTTGCTCCAAGACGCCCTGGCAAGAAAGGGCTCCGAGTCCAGGATTGTCGCTCTCGCTCGAGACGTCCTCGCAATTCAGGCAAGCAGGCGAAGGCCCAACTACGACGGCAACGGCTCCCGCATGATGCTTGATTACGGTTTACTCCAAGACGCTCTTGTCAGAGTGGGCTTCGACCTCAGGAACAGCTCCCTCTGTGGAAACGTCCTCGCAATTCCGTCAAGTTGTACAAGGTCCAACTGCGACGATAAGGGCGTCCTCTCCATACTTGCTCACGATTTACTCCGAGACGCCCTTGTCATATGCCAATTGCATTACCACCCTCAGGAATGGCGCCCTCGCCTGAGGCGTCTTGCAATTCTTTTATATTTTGAGGAAGCCCAGCCGAGACGATAAATGCCTCACCTTCGATACTTCCTGACGGTTTTCTCTGGGCCGCTCTGGGAACCCCCGAGTTCAGGAACGGCGCTCTCAACCGAGACTTCTTCGCACTTCACTGAAGTTGAAATTGCCCGCGGGCGCGTTAGCTCGTATGACGGCCATGTCGGCGCGGTGCGCACACAGAGTGCATTGATGAATGCTTCTCCATGGAGCTGGCATCATTCCCCGTAGAAGGTTGGTTCATAGATTCGGTGGGCGGGTACAAGGTAGACAGAAAACGAATCAAGGTTCAAGCAGCTTTTCAGAACGCATATTCGCAAGATGACTGCAGACGGCGTCGGCCGCCAGCGCCGCCGTAGCCGCCGTCGTCGTCGTCGCCGTCGTCGTCGTCGTCGTCGTCGATCGGGGTTCGAGAGCCGCTGGTGTGTTTGATCTATCTGGGGCCTCCCGGGGTCCCCTCGGCGACAAGGCTGGACCCTCCTCGGCGTTTTGCCTCAGCGCGCTCCAGGAGAGGCCCTGGGGTCGACTAACAAAACAAATACTTCGACGTTGACGACGACGATGACGGCACCCGGGCCCCCCCACCGTAAGGGCCGCGAGCCCGAGCGCTGGAAGCCAGAGGTGGCGCCGCGCGTGCCGCTGCGGAGGCCGCCGCCGCCGTTGTTGTCGCCGCCGTTGTCGTCGGCGGCGACCTTGGAGTTTCGGCCCTCCGGACCTCTGGGGCGCCCTCATCGCAACGGCTGGATCTGCCTCGAGAATTTCCACGCTTCGCATATCCCAACCTCTCCATCCAGAGACGAAGTCCTGGCGAGTTGTCGGGAGGAGGGAAGAAGATCGGATGTTGTGGGGTGAGGACGCAGTGACCCGATCCAGGAAGTCAGTTTTGGTTTTGGTTCGTGTCGTGCATGCGAGCGAGGCGGAGCTGCGCGGGGGCGATGATATGTCAACTGAAAATCCAGTTGCAATTTAAACACATCGACATTCACATCTAAAGTCAGAGCGAGCATCATTGTCCAGTTCCAGGTGAGTCTCAACTCGAATTGTGATCGTGATGCACATCAACGTGTGCATCGAAATGCACATCATCAAAGTGTACATCTAGATTTGCTAATTTGGATCCCGAACACTGGGTGTGTCAGCTATGTGATGGTCGCTATGTTCTGCCAGCTATCCGCGCTGCAAGCAATGCGATGCAATCTTTGTAGGATGTACCCAGTGTGGTGCAAGCTTTGTGTGGTGCAAGCTGTGTGATGAAAGCTATGCGGTGCAAGATATGTGGTGTGAGCAAAGTGGTACAACACGAAGCGCCCACGGGCGCTCACCGGGCGAAACCTCAAAGAACTTAGCCAGCGCACGGGGCGCCCACGCGGCGCCAACTAGAGCCCACCAGGAGAAACCCTGCCACACCCAGTCAGAGCAAGGGGCGCCCACGAGGCGCCCTAGGCCGCCCACCAGGCGAAACCTCGGGAGTCTCATCCAACTGCTTATGAACAAATCAAGAAACCCTTAAGTGCACGCACTGTTTGGAGAAAGTGCGCATCGACATGTCATCGGTAGATGGAGAGGTCGGCAGAAAGTGATACCGATAGGTGGATCAATCGAGTAGCCCAAGATTGCCCAAGAGAGCCCCAGGACAGGCCCAAGCTGGGCCACAGAGCGGGAGCGGGAGGCCGAAGAGGCAAAGAGGCCTGCAAGAGGGCTCAAGAGAGCTCCGAGAGACGTCCCGAGACAGCCCAAAGAGGCCCAAATCATTGATATGCACTGGTTTGTTCGATTGTTTTCGCTTTCTCGCTCTCTCTACCTTCCAATGCTCGAAGACGGCAGGCGGCAGAAGATGCCCCCAAGACCGCCCCAAGACCGCTGAAGAGGCACACAGAAGACTCCCACGACGGCCCCAGGGAGCCCGAAAATTGACCAATAAGGCCCAAGAGAGCCCCAGGACAGGCCCAAGCTGGGCCAAAGAGCGGGAGCGGGAGACCCCAAGGCGCTCCAGGACGGCTCAAATGGCCCCAACGTCGCCCCACATGGGCCCACCACGGCAAACACAGGCCAAGAGGTCCCAAGAGGCCCCAGGAAAGCTCCGAGAGGCGTCCCGAGAGAGCCCGGGCCTTGCACTCGAAAGACAAAGGAGTTGCCATCTCTTCCTCGGCGGCCGCACTGGGTCTGGGCTGGACGCTGTGACACCCTAATCGGCGGGGGGGGCGTACCCCTGACGTTGGGCGCAGCACGGCCCTCGGTCTCAGCCTTGCCCTGCTGGTGGCGGCGATAGCCAGGCGCCCGTGGCCGTCTTGGGCGGCCCCCAGGTATTCACGTTCCGTACAGGCAACCCGCATACTCAGGATGGGCAACCTTCCCGAAGGTATCCTTGCATGCTCGCTTCCACGGTCCATCCTTGGCCACTTTCGTTGACCGCGACCCGCTCGAAAAGCTTCCAAATGGCCTTCCGAGGCCCTTGCCTCCTTATCGTGCGTCCTTGTGATGCGGGCTGATTGTATACCCCCCCACGGGAGGAGCCTCAGACGCCCAATAGAGCCCCAGGACAGGCTCAAGTTGGGCCCCAGACTGGGAGCGGGAGGCCCCAGGGCGCTCCAAGACGGCCCTCATGGCCCCAAAAGGCCTCCAAGAGGGACTAAGAGAGCTCCGAAGGACGTCCCGAGAGAGCCCGAAGAGGCCCAAATCATTGATTTGCATTGGTTTGTTTGATGTTTTTCGCTTTCTCGCGTTCTCGAGCTTCCAATGCTCGAAGATGCCCGCAGACGCCCCCAAGACCGCCCCGAGACCGCCGAAGAGGCCCTCCAAAGAGCCCCAAGACGGCCCCAGGGAGCCCAAAAATAGTCCAGGAGGAGCACCAGACGGCCCAAGAGAACCCCAGGATAGGCCCAAGCTGGGCCCCAGAGCGAGAACGGGAGGCCCCCAGGCGCTCCAAGACGGCCCTGATGGCCCCAAAGTGGCCCCAGATGGGCCCAACACGGCCACTACTCCGACAGGCGTCCCGAGAGAGCCCGAAGAGGCCCAAATCATTGATTTTTCGGTCGTGTTTCACATGTTTTTCGCTTTCTCGCGTTCTCGAGCTTCCAACGCTCCAAGACGGCCGAAGACGCCCCGAAGATCGCCCCGAGACCGCCGAAGAGGCCCCCCAAAGAGCCCCAAGACGCCCCAGAGAGCCTGAAGACCCCGCAAGAGCAGCCCAACATTGCCCAATACAATCCTAGGAGGGGCACAAGATGGGCCCCAGAGCGGGAGCGGGAAGCTCCAGGGCGCTCCAGGACGGCCGAGATGATTCCAACGTGGCCCAAGAGGAGCTCAAGACGGCAAGAAGGCCTAAGAGAGCTCCGAAAGACGTCCCGAGAGAGCCCAAAGAGGCCCAAATCATTGATTTGCATTGGTTTGTTCGATGTTTTTCGCTTTCTCGCGTTCTGGAGCTTCCAATGCTCGAAGACGCCCGCACACGCCCCCAAGACCGCCCCGAGACCGCCGAAGAGGCCCCCACAAGAGCCCCAAGACGGCCCCAGGGAGCGTCACAATGGTCCAGGAGGAGCCCCAGACGGCCCAAGAGAGCCCCAGGACAGGCCCAAGCTGGGCCCCAGAGCGAGAACGGGAGGCCCCCAGGCGCTCCAAGACGGCCCAGATGGCCCGGGCCTCCTCCCTCCGCCCCTCCTTCCCTCCCGCCCCCTCCCCTTGCCTCCATTCCCTTCTCTCTCCTCTTCCTCCCCTCACCCCTTAGCGTTCGTGCCCCTCTCTCCTCTCCTGGGACGGCCCCGCCAGAGCGCCAGACAGGCCCCGGCAGAGCGAGCGGGGCATCGCTATACCTTATTATTTCACAAGTTGCTTTCCCCCTTCCACCCCTCAAGGGCGGCCCCGGCAGAGCGAAAGCGTTCTGACTACGCGTTTTTTTGCGTCGATGTCATGGGCCCGAGAACGCTGGAAATCGTCGTTGTGACCACAGCGGGGCTTACAGCGGCACCCGTGTCTCATCTGCGACTAGGACCTAAACGCGCGCGTAGCGCGCGTGCGTGGTTATATATATATATATGTATATATATATATATATATATATATATATATATATATATGTATATACACATCTATGGGAGTTCCCGGGCCTCAGGCCCCGGGCCGGAACCTCCCTTGTACATAGGTAGTGGCCCCCTCCCGGGACGCCCCTCCAGCGGCCCCCGCGCGTTCCATTCCGCCCAAGACGGCTCCAACAGCGCCGAGAATACCCCAGGATCGCTTCCAGACCGCCAAAGATCGCTTCCAGAAGGGCCAAGAGGCCCTCAAGCCGCCCCAAGAGGCCGCCAAGAGGCCCCCCAAGAGCGCCCTGGGAAACCAAAATGGCCCCAGTCCTTTCGTAAAACGTACACTTTTAGGATATCAGCTCCCTTGGACATCGGAGCGGTCAAAAAGCCCCAAGAGGCGCCCAAGGACGCCCCAGGGCTGCTGAGACAGCCCCAAGACGGCCCAGGAGGGCCTCCCGGGAAGCTCTTCCGGCGGCCCCATGGCCTCCCAGTCCGCCCAAGATGGCCCAAGAGACTTCCCGGTCGCCCCGAGAGGGCCCCAGGGGCGCTCCGATACGGCCCAAGATGGCTTCCAGAAGGGCCACGAGGCCCTCAAGACGCCCCAAGAAGGCTCCAAGAGGCCCTCCAAGAGAGCCCCGGGAGACAAAACTGTCCCCAGCCTTTTTTTCTTTATATATATATATATAAGCATATATATATATATATATATATTTATATATATATATATATATATTATATATATATATAGAAGAGCCCCCAAAAGGCCCGAAGAGGCGCCCAAGAAGACCCCAAGACGGTCTAGGGCAGCCCCATATACACATCATATAAATAAATCCCCCCCCCCCCCGGCCGGGCCAGCCCACCCCGCAACCATCGGGGGAAACCCGCTGATACCCCCCCCCCGTTTCGCTCCCCAGAGGCGGCCCGGAGAGGGTAAGGGGGTGCAAAACGAGCCAAGAGGGTTCCAAGAGGCCCCCAAGCGCAAGAAGGTCCCGAGCTGCCCAATACGGCCCAGGAGTACTCCCAGAGCACTCCCCAGAGGGACCCAAGAGGCCCAAATCATTAAATTCTTGTGGAGGAACGTACATGTTTAGCATGTGCGACTTTTCAGCGATCGCGGCTTTCACGACGGTCCAAGAGGCCTGAATATTTCCTCAAGACAGCCCAAGACGTTCCCAAGAGGTCCCCGAGCCAGCCCAAGAGGGCGCCAAGACGGCCCAAGGGCTGCCTGAGACGAGCAAGTGTCCCCAAGACGGCGCCCAAGACGGCCCCAAGAAACCACAATCGTTGAATTCAGACAGGAAAGCGTACATGTTTTTCATATGCGACTTGTCGGCCTTCACGGCTTTGACGGCCTAAGAGGTTCCCCAGACTTGCCCAAGAGAGCCTAAGACATTCCCAAGAGGCCCTCAAGACAGCCTACGAGAGGGCCAAGATTGCCCAAGGGCTGCCAAAGACTGCCCAAGTTAGCCCCAAAACGGGCCCCAAGAAGGCCAAGAAGGCCCTGAGTCGCTCAAGACTGCCTAAGATGGCCCCAAGAAGGGCCAAGAAGGCTCCGAGACGTCCCAAAAGGCCTCCAAGAGCACTCCCAAGAGGATCCTTAGGGACCAAATTCGTCACATTCCTGT